GAGCTCCCTGCTCACATACATATATTTCCTTTAAACAACTCAACATCACCAGATCCTCATAACATCATCAACACGAAGTTTTGCTTAAAAGGATCTCTGAAAATCTGCTTATAACCTAAGCAGGTGGCTCAGCAGTTCCCTTTGTACCACCCAACTGCCAAGACCACTGCTCCAGTTAAACTTCACCTTAATCTTACTTAAGTACTTTTTCAGACATCTTTCTTGTGTTCTAAACAACGTTTCACCATCACTTTCATCACAAAGTCAATATTTCTCCAGTAGTTACCTCAGCAGTTTCCTGCTACCTAGTCAACTGCTAAGCTAACTGCCAAGCCAACTGCTAGCTATCTAAGTTCAATCTTCCCAAAATTAGAAAGTGGTCAAACACTCATTACATAAAGGGTAAAGACTTCCGCTGTGCATCTATTAATCTCTCAAAAGATTATAGATCAATTCATCTAGAGGGAAAAACTTCAAAAAATTAAAAAAGATTTAAAAGTCTATTCACTCCCCCTCTAGACTTTTACCCTATCTGGGACCATCAAGTGGTATCAGAGCGGAGTGTTCCTAGAGTCAGTTTCTGACTAATTTGAACTAAAGATCCAAACCACTCTACTTTCCAAACACCTTCAAAGATGGAAAGTCAGTTAGCCAAGAATCTTCTGTTCAACTTGAACAAATTTGATGACTGGAAAATACGGATGAGAGCACATCTCAGTGCTTTACATGATGAGATGCTTGAAGTAATTACTAATGGACCTATCAAAATAATGAAGGTCATCACATCCAGAACCACAGAAGGGACAGATGATGTGTACATTCCAAAACCCAAAATGGAATGGACAACTGAGGACAGGAAGAGAAACAATCTTGACAACATTGCCAAGGACATTCTCTTCAAATCTGTTGATGAATCTATATTTCCCAGAATCAGGAAATGTGAAACTGCCAAAGATGTCTGGGATGAGCTCACAAAGATTGGAGCAGGGGATGAACAGGAGAAGGACAATAAACTGACCATAGCCCTCAAGAAATTTGAGGATTTCAAAATGCTGTCAACTGAATCTATCCATGAGATGGAATCCAGATTCCTGAAGATTGTGGCTGAGGTCTCTGACCTTGGGAAAGAACTTTCTCAAAAGGAAATTTCCCTTAAAGTCTTGAGAGGCCTGCCATCAAAATGGGACATGAAGGTAACTGCTATGAGAGATAGCAGAGATCTCAGAACTCTGTCAACCGACAAACTCTTCAGTGATCTCAAGGCCTATGAATTTGAAATGAAGGAGATCAAAGAAGAGAAGGAAGATGAATCCAAGACACTAGCTCTAGTGTCTGAGCCAAGCACTTCAAAATCTACTGAAAAATCTCTCAATAATCTCCTCACTGACGAGCAGTTTGCTATGTTTGTGAGGAAATTTAAAAGATTCATGAAGAAGGAGGGAACTGCTCCAAAGAAAGCATACAACCTGCCACCTAGAAGACAAGGGAGACCTCAATCCAGTGAGGAAACTGTCCTGTGCTACAACTGTAGGCAACCAGGACATTACAAAAATGAATGCCCTCTGCCCTTAGCCCAGAAGTATCAAGGGCAGCAGGGGTCTGGTCCCAAAGCTAGTTACAAGAAGGACTTCAAAAGCAAAAGGCAAGCCTTTGTAAGTGAAAAGAAAAAGGAGGAACCCCAATCTGAAGATGATAGCAGCTCAAGTAATGAAAGCTCTTCATCTGAAAGCTCAGAAGAAGCACTTCTATGCCTGGGATCCTGGCAGATGGCTGAAAAAGGCGGCAGCTGGCTCACTGGAGAAAGCAGCAGATGGCTCAGTGAAGATAATGAATGCAGCTCCCCCAAATGCCTAATGGCTAAAGACCACTACAATGATGTTGAGGTAACATCCTGCTCCTCTTATAGCTCTAGTGATTCTGGACCAACCAATATTACTCTGGAATCTTTATTACAAGATTTCCAAAGAGTCCAAAATCACCATGTTCTCTTAAGATCAGAAAATGATAGATTAAAACAAGACATAAAGGCTATTCATACTAAACTATTAGATGCCTTAACCAAAAACAATGTCTTAGAAAAGGAGAACAAAGAGCTGAAAGACAAAATGAATAACCTCAGCATGGATAGTAAAACCTGTGACTCTACTGCTGAAGTTGTTCTAAATAGGAAGACAAGAGGGCTCGGATATGTATCCCCCACCAGACTCACTCAAAACTCACCCTCCACAAGCCACCTACAAAATACAAGAAAGCTAATCTACCAAAAATCCCATTCTCAAAATGTTCCCATAAGAAGGAACCTGCCTGCTCCCAAATCAAAATCCAATCTCCTGTATAGACAAAAACTTCCCAACCATCAAAACCCAAGAACCCGTTGGCAATCAACCAATAAGACCAACCACAGTCAAAACACTAAGCAGTCTCCTCCAAAAGTCAATAATCCATTTTCCACTTCAAGAAGAAAAAGGATTAACAAATACATAGCCATCCCCCATGATTATAATACTTCAAATGGCTATAGACCAATCTGCTTAGAACTAAATGGTTCTAGATGGGCATGGATGCCCAAACTTGTACAAAGGAAGTTGCCCACTAACTTGTGGGCTACTGCTCAACAATGATGAATACAGGAAGGTGCTGGAGCAGTTGACTCACAGACATGGTACATAGATTCAGGCTGCTCCAGGCACATGACAGGCAGCAGGCGGCTCCTGTCAAACTATATGGCAAGCGAAGGACCCAAAGTTACTTTTGGGAATGTGGAAAAACAAGGAGAAACCAAAGGAGCTGGAGACCTATCCATCAATGGACTTACAATCCAAAACATATCTTATATTAAAGGATTAAAGTTCAATCTCATAAGCACAAGCCAGCTCTGTGACAATGGCTATAATGTTACATTCTCCAAAGACATCTGCTTGATTAGAGATGTCAAGAATGACAAAATTGTGCTCACTGGTAGAAGGAAGAAGGACATGTACATTGTTGATTGGAGCTCAGCAAAGGAAGGGATTTGCTTGGTGACAAAGGCAAATTCAAATTTGAGTTGGGAATGGCACAACAAATTAAGCCATCTCAACTTCAAAACAATCAACAAACTGTCCAGAAAAGGATTGGTGAAAGGACTTCCTGAAATCAATTTCAAGAAGGACCATCTCTGTGATGCTTGCCAAAAAGGAAAACAAACCAAGGTATCATTCAAATCAAAGGAACTGGAATCATCAACTAGGCCCTTAAGCCTACTACACCTTGACTTGTTTGGACCAGTTGAACCAACGAGCTTAAGTGGTAGAAGATACACCCTGGTGATAGTTGATGATTATTCTAGATACACTTGGACCGTATTCCTAAAGAAAAAGAATGAAACAGAGAAGAAACTTCCAGAACTGATGAAACTAATTCAAAATGAGAAAAGTCTCTCAATCCAAAAGATCCGGTCAGATAGAGGTACTGAATTCCTTAACTCTATAGTAATTCAGTACTGTGAAGAAAATGGAATCCATCACCAAACTTCAGCAGCAAGAACACCTCAACAAAATGGTGTTGCTGAGAGAAGGAATAGGACACTCAAGGAAGCCGGAAGGACAATCTTAGAAGCAGCTGGTTTACCCAAAAGATTTTGGGCAGAAGCCATCAACACTGCTTGCTACACACAGAATAGAAGTCTCATTCATAAGACTTACAAAAAGACTCCATATGAACTATGGAAAGAAAGAAAGCTTAATGTTAGTCATTTCCATGTGTTTATATCCAAATGCTTCATTCTAAACAATGGAAAAGACTATCTCAAGCCATTTGATCCCAAATCTGATGAAGGGATCTTCCTGGGCTACTCAGCAACAAGCAAGGCATTCCGGATCCTCAACAAAAGAACTCTGGTGGTAGAAAAATCAATCCATGTGGTTTTTGAAAATCACCCCACTGCTCAATCAAAAGAAGAAGGTGAGTCATCCAACTCAAAGAAGGACACTGGAAAGGCTCCAAGCTGCCTTCCAGGAAATGATAGAGAAAAAATAGCTGAATCTAATGTCAGTCCACAGCCAGCAGTGGACTCAACTGTCAGCCCGCTGCCAGCAGGTGACTCACCAACAAACATCCTTCCAGACCTTCATGAAATTCCTAAACACCCTACTCTACCAGAAGATAGTGACGAAGAAGAAGTTGAGGATGACCAACAACTTCAAAGCAAAACCACCACATCTGACATTAGATGGTTGAACAAACATCCTCCACACCAAATCATTGGAAACATCCATGAAGGGGTTCGTACAAGGTCAGCAATCCAAAAAGAAGCACTATTCTCATGCTTCATCTCACAAATCGAACCCAAGAAAATTGAAGAAGCCCTACTTGACTCTGACTGGATACAAGCAATGCAAGAGGAACTAAATCAGTTCGAGAGAAACAATGTGTGGGAGCTTGTGCCCAGACCCTATCACCAACATGTGATAGGAACCAAATGGGTGTTCAGAAACAAGATGGATGAGGAAGGCACAATTGTCAAGAACAAGGCAAGACTAGTAGCCAAAGGCTACTGCCAGGAAGAAGGTATAGATTTTGATGAAACCTTTGCTCCTGTTGCCAGATTAGAAGCAATAAGAATATTCTTGGCGTATGCTGCTCACAAGCAATTCACAGTCTATCAAATGGATGTGAAAAGTGCCTTCCTAAACGGTCTACTAGAAGAGGAGGTCTATGTGGAGCAACCTCCTGGTTTTGAAATCAATAGAGAGAAGGATCTAGTCTATAAACTGCATAAAGCTCTTTATGGACTCAAACAAGCCCCAAAAGCATGGTATGACACTCTCTCTGAGTACTTAGTGAATAATGGATTCACTAAGGGCAAAGTAGACAAGACTTTATTCAAAATTGAAGAAGGTCCCCACATATTGCTTGTTCAAATCTATGTTGATGACATAATTTTTGGAAGCTCAAACTGATCGGTGTATTTTTTTAGTGAAGTAAAACGTAGTTGGCTAATCTGAAGAATAACCAGACCACGAGTATCGTCTCTCAAGGAGTGGCAAAAGGAAGTTTTTAGATACAGTCCGTGATCACAGGCTAGCACAAGTCATGGTAATCTTTCCGAATAAATATTTTTGGGTGGTTTTTAAAAAAATTACTAACAGCGAGTGCAAAAAAATAAATATAGTATATAAAAAAAAAATTAAACTGATTCTAGATATTAAAACAGGGTTCGAATTGGATGGTTCGGGTTCTGGGTGTTCTTTCCGGATTAGAATTAAGTAAATTAATTTTCAATTATTCCTGGAAAGAAAATGAATTAAATTCTCATAGACAAGAATTAAAACATATTTTCACAATCCTAACTTATTTCTAAGGTTAGATTGCTTGTATAAGATTTGAGCTAATTTAACTCAATTTCTCATAGACAAGAACTGAATTAAATCCAGTCATTCATATATGAGGTGATCAAATTCATATAGACAATTATAATTAATCTCATACTATTTTCCAGAAAATTAATTAAATTTTAAAAACTAAATTCACACCTTCAAGAACCCATGAACCCTAGCCCCAATTCAAACCCTATAGGAAATTAGCTTCTCATAATTAAAATTAACATCACAATCATATTGATAAGCATGATAAGGGCTAGAAAAATTGAAGTAGAATAATTCTCTGGGAAATTCTTAATTATCAACTACAGAAAAACATCTTCGAAAGTTAATTCAAAACTGAAACTAAGTAATGTAAAATATGTTTGACTTACAATGAATGTTTGAAATCTAAATTAACTTGGAGAAAATTGAAAGAGGAGTGCAGTTTAGAAACCGTTCTGATTTTCTTTCTTGCTGGTGCGGCTGATTCACCAAGGACAGAACGCAAGAATGGAAATAAACTCTGCTGCGGCTATTTGATTTCAGGAACAGAAAGAATCGTAGAGCATGCTGCGGCTAACTTAAAAAAAATGAAAAGGAAAGAATGAATGAATGTGCGGCTGCCAGTTCCAGGGAAAAACCCAGCTGATCCTTTTTTTTTTCTTTTGGGCTGCTAACATTGCTTCTTCTTTTGTCATTTTGGATTGCACTTAACTTCAAAAACAGTCCTTAAATGATCTGGTCCAAACATATTCACCGCAAACTCGGCCTGTACAATAACAACTCACCACACCCGCTAATAATATGTAACTTTACAATCAAATTACTCCAAAAATGTCAAATTGTGTAGAAAAAATACTATTTCCAATATGACTGCCACCGGGACCGAAAAATAGCAAATTTTCACTCAAACCCCCCAATAGTCACTCGGTTAATTATAAAAATAAAAAAATTAACACCCAAATATGGGTGAAAAGATAGGAACGGAACGAGCCTATCAAATCTCCCCACACTTGAGCGTTGCTTGCCCCCAAGCAACAATGCATTAAACCCACGGAAAACAAAATAATCACATGTAACACCTGGTTCAAAAATCATTCACACCCAAAACAAATGACTGCACAAGGTCTTTTCTTTCTTAACAACGAAACCAAGATTCACATGTTGAACAATATTTTCAAAAGTAAAATCCCTCTCCAACCGACTAAAATGTAAAGAAAAGCATGATGGTCCCAACGGTGCAGGTGTGTGAAATCCAAACCACCAATCATTCCAAAAAAAAACCAAGAATTGTGTGATAAAACTCGGAATACTCGTGATTCTTTTTTTTTTTTTTTTTTTTTTTGAATATGTAAAGTTGACCAGGTTCTGGATTGCAGGACTGATTCAAGCTCTAGGGCCTGGGAGTTTATCTCATTACTGTGTACTCAACTCTCACACAAGGTGATTCGTGAGATGAGCAGAGCCCCATTTCGGGGATGAAATTCTCGACACACGAAGTGTAACCCCATTACAAGAATCAGTTGCCTACTTAGCATGAAGTTATCCCGATATGCTTAGAAAGCAGAGCTCCTTACGGAGTAAGGATTTTCAACACCTGGCCAGTCAAGGAATTATTAATGCGAACTAGTGAATCACGAGTAAAAACCGAATTTAATCAACACAAATCAAACCATCCAACATGCCAACATTTCCCAAGAATATACACACCACTCCGATGATTACACCATTACTAATTCTTTCCAAGAAAGATGGAGGAGATGGAAAATTACAAAAGAAAATAAAGATTAACAAGTTACCTCTGTTGCGTTGCTAAACCAGAAAAATCCTCATGCACTCCAAAATGTTTTTGGGCAGAATAACTTCATCACCAAATGTCATGTCCAAGCTAAAACCAAACCTCCCCACACTTAGGGGTGACATCGCCCTCGAGGTCAAAGAAAAGATTAAAACAGAAATAATAGGGGCAAGTTATGAATAAAATGATTTTCATCCCGGCAGCACATCATAGTCAGAATAATAACAATCAACACAAATCAACACAAGGAGTAATATGAGAGTAAACACACATTCTTAGCAATGTAGTAAGAGTTGGCAGATTACCGTACAAGACAAGCGGCAGTGAATAACCTCCAGAAAAACTTTGAATAACCTTGAATCTCTGCGATTGATAGCTCTTGGATCTCGTTTGCATTTGAGGGCTCTATGACTCTGGTGATGGGAAGTCCAGGTGGTGTGCATCAAATCCCTCAACTTCTGAGTAAACATAGTAAAGGCTGCTGTACTAGGGGCTGCACATATTGAGTTTCTGGTGACATGGATGCACTTTTGGTATTGATCTCAGTTTGCTCGTTCATGCCGGCTAGAAAAACTCTTCTCTAGCTTAGGTCTCAATGCTAGAAGGATAAAGCTGGACAGTTCGTCCTCTGAAGTGTGGTGACCCGAGGCCTAATTTGAAGTGTGGACTGCTGCCCTGAACTTGCTCGCGTTCTGGCTGCGCTCTGCTATCAAAATCTTGTCCCACCAGAACACCCAGAATAGCTATTGGACGTCTCATCGCTCTTGTCCTCAAAAGTAAATGCTTTGCTCTCATATCACTCATGGACCTTCTGTTAAGTACACCAACTGGCAGCCCTTGGGAGGATCCTCTACATAGGGCTGCGCTTCTTCCACCAGCAGTCCAAGATCTCCATGTCGTACCTGTAATTCAGAGCAAAGAAATCCACAACCACAAGATGAAAACATAAAACAACATAAACAAAAGTGCAAAAGAAAACAAAAACTCCTAATTCTATTTTTTTTTATGGTGGGTTGCCTCCCAGAAGCGCTTCTTTAACGTCACTAGCTTGACGATAGATCATGCTTAGCCGCTAATCTCCTTAAGATAAAGAACCTCCCTTTCAGTGCTCACTTTCTCGCCATAATAGAGCTTCACTTGATGACCATTAACCTTAAAGTTTCCCCTTGCAGGATCATGCAACTCAATGGTGCCATACGGGTATATCTCAATCACAGTAAATGGCCCTGACCATCTGGAACGCAGTTTCCCACGGAACAACTTCAACCTAGAATTATACAGCAGCACCTGATCTCCAACTCTAAACTCGCGGGATTGCTTGATGTGCCTATCATGATATTGCTTCACTCGCTCCTTATACAAATGGTTGTTGTGGAAAGCCATAGCACGCCACTCTTCAAGCTCATTCAGCTGATAAAACCTCTCCTTTCCAGCTCCTTCAAGGTCAAATACAACATTCTTTAGGGCCCAAAATGCCTTATGCTCGACCTCCACTGGAAGATGGCATGATTTTCCATAAACCAACCTGAATGGTGTGGCGCCAACAGGAGTTTTATATGCTGTTCGAATAGCCCACAAAGCATCATCAAGCTTTTCTGCCCAGTCCTTTCTTGACCGACCAACTGTCTTTTCCAATACTGCCTTGATTTCTCTATTTGAATTTTCAACCTGACCTTGAGACTGGGGATGGTAGGCCACTCCGCTTCTGTGTTGAACACTATATTGCTGAAGGATACGGGCCATAGGGTCACTTCTGAAATGGCTGCCCCTATCACTGATCAAGATTCTGGGAACACCAAATCGTGCAAATAACTTCTTTAAGAATCGGACAACCACCTTTGTGTCATTCGTGGAACATGCTTGGGCCTCCACCCACTTGGACACATAATCAACAGCAACTATTATGAACTTGTTCCCTTTCGAACTCGGGAAAGGGCCCATGAAATCAATTCCCCACACATCGAACACTTCGCATGGCAAAATATAGTGTTGTGGCATCTCATCCCTCCGGGATATGTTCCCAGTCCTCTGGCACTGATCACAAGCTGAAGCATGAGCATGAGCATCCTTAAAAATGGTGGGCCAATAGAATCCACAATCAAGAACTTTCCTGGCAGTCCTCTCTCCTGAGAAGTGACCTCCTGTGGGTCCAGTATGACAATGCATTAGAATCTCCTTTCCTTCTTGTTCAGGTACACATCTTCTCACAACTTGGTCAGCACAAATTTTGAACAGGTATGGATCATCCCAGAAGTAATGCTTGGCTTCAGACTTCAATCTCTTAATCATGTGGCGAGACATCCCGGCAGGTTCAACTTTGCCCACAAGAAAGTTAGCGAGATCTGCATACCAAGGCATCTTTGAACTGTGCTGAATGGCTAGAAGCCTCTCATCTGGAAAAGTCTCTTCAAGCTCAAACTTTTTGAATGTCTCCACCACTTCAGTCTCTAGTCTAGATAGATGATCTGCTGCTTGGTTAGCGGTCCCCTTTCGGTCTTTGATCTCCACATAGAATTCCTGCAACAAAAGAATCCAGCGGAGAAGCCTAGGCCTTGCATCATTCTTCTGAAGTAAATACCTCAAAGCCGCATGGTCAGTGAAGACAATTACCTTAGAAAGAATGATGTAGGGTCTAAATTTCTCCAAAGCAAACACAATAGCCAAAAACTCTTTTTCAGTAGTAGTATAATTGAGCTGAGGCCCCGCTAAAGTCTTACTGGCATAGTAGATAGGGCGAAAGTGCTTATCCTTGGTTTGACCCAGGATAGCCCCAACCACTTGATCGCTAGCATCACACATTATCTCGAAAGGTAAAGACCAATCGGGTGTAGCAAGAATGGGAGCCTCAGTCAATTTCCTTTTCAAAGTATCAAAAGCAACAACACAATCAGGTGAAAAATCAAAAGGTACATCTTTCCCTAAAAGATTAGTCAAAGGTCGGGCAATCTTAGAGAAATCCTGTATAAACCGGCGGTAAAAACCAGCGTGCCCAAGAAAGCTACGGATGGCTTTTACTGTGGTTGGATACGGAAGTTTCTCTATAGCCTCAACCTTCGCCTTATCAACCTCAATTCCCTTTTCAGAAACCTTATGCCCTAAAACAATGCCCTCCCTGACCATAAAGTGGCATTTCTCCCAACTTAAGGCCAAGTGGGTCTCCTCACATCTAGCAAGCACCCTGTCAAGGTTAGTTAAGCAAGAGTCAAAAGTATCACCGAACACAGAAAAATCATCCATAAATACTTCCATGAAATCTCCAATAAACCTGTCAAAAATGGCTAGCATACAACGCATAAATGTAGCAGGAGCATTACACAAACCGAAGGGCATCCTACGGAAAGCAAAAGTGCCAAAGGGACAAGTAAAGGTGGTCTTCTCCTGATCTCTAGGGTCTACATGAATCTGAAAGTACCCACTCATCCCATCTAAGAAACAATAATACCCGTGCCCTGCTAAATTCTCAACTAACTGATCAATAAATGGCAAAGGGAAGTGGTCTTTCCGGGTGGCATCATTTAGTTTTCGGTAATCAATCACCATCCGCCACCCTGACACAATGCGAGTAGGTATTAACTCCCCTTTGTCATTCTCAACAGCAGTCATTCCCCCTTTCTTAGGAACCATATGAATAGGACTCACCCAACTACTATCAGAAATTGGGTATATAATGTCTGCATCTAAAAGCCTCAAAATCTCGGTTCTCACAACCTCCATCAAATTAGGGTTCAACCTGCGCAGTGGTTGCACTGTCGGGCTGAACCCTTCCTCAATGCTAATCCTATGTGTGCAAAAGGTAGGATCGATCCCCTTAATATCCCCTAACGTGCGGGCAATGGCCCCTTCACGCCGCCTAAGCAAGGACACAACCTTATCTTTTTCATCTCTCTCTAAATCAGAAGCAATGATAATGGGGTGCTTGCCCTCATCATCCAATGAAGCGTACTGTAGGTGTTCTGGGAGCCTTTTAAGCTCAGAAAACTGCTCACATGGGGGTGTATCAACAACAGTACTACCTGAAACCTCTTGAGAGGCTTCTCCTAGCAAATCATCAACAGAGCATTTAAGTTCATGAGATAACATTTCATCATCACACATACCCACATCTAAGACCTCACCACATGCAGTATCATCAGAATAATCACTCTCACCCTGGCCCCCAAATAAATAATCCTCAATGCACTCATACATATGAAGAAAATTACAGCTCTCAGTTTGTGCCTCGGGGTGGTTCATAACTTCTGAGAGTCGAAAAGTACAAGTGTCCTCTCCAATTCTCAGAGTCAATGAACCATCAGACACATCAATAACAGCACGGGCAGTGGCCAAGAAAGGCCGCCCCAAAATAAGAGGGGTACCACGATCCTCCTCTATATCCATAACGACAAAGTCTACAGGAAAAATAAACTCACCAACCCTGACTAGGACGTCCTCAATAATACCACTTGGGTACTTAACAGAGCGATCAGCTAATTGAAGACACATCCTAGTGGGTTTCATTCCACCCAGTCCCAACTTATTAACAAGAGAAGCTGGCATCAAGTTGATGCTGGCTCCTAGATCAGCTAGTGCATTTTTAAAAACATAATCATGAATAGAACAAGGTATGGTGAAAGAACCTGGATCCTTGAGCTTTTCCGGCATCATTTTTGTCACCACAGCTGAACACTCAGCATTTAGGTCAACCACAGAGTACTCCTCCAGCCTCTTTTTGTTGGTGATTAAGTCCTTCAGGAACTTTGCATATTTAGGCATCTCCGCAAGTACTTCTGTGAGTGGCATCTCCACATGTAGTTTGCTAATCATCTCCATAAACTTGTATTCTCTCTTGCGGTCCTCGCCCTTCTTGACACGAGTAGGGAATGGAACAACTGGTGCATTAGCCCTCTTGGTCTCTTGTTGGGGTGTATTCTGCTCGATGATTGCTTTACCCTCTCGCTGGCCTGGCTGGTCAGAATTGAACTTTAGCTCACCTTCAGATTGTCTTTGAAAAGGTTCTGGGCTTTCTAGCTCTGCACTCTTTCCTGGACAGCTAGGAACACTCTGGGCTTGGCTCTCTTTGGCATCCACCATTGGTTCACGAACTTGCTTCCCACTGCGCAGATTTATTGCATTCACATGCTCTCTTGGGTTTGGCTCTGTAGTGCTGGGAAGGCTTCCAGACTGCCTCCCGGAAGGACCTGCAAAGAATCTGTTCTCTAGTTCCCGTATTCGCTGCTCATGTTGCAGCTCAAGGTTCCTCAACCGCTGCTCCATCAAAATCTTTTCCTCTCTTGCTCTTTTATCTCTTAATTCATTTTCTTCTCTAGCCCGTGTCAGCTCTGCAAGCACCAAATCTAGTTGGGAATGAGCTGAATTATCTTGTTGTCTGATATGTGGGGGCACATAAGGCTGGTTGCTACCACTTCCTTGGCCTCGTTGGTATCCACCTTGGCGGTTATTATCTCTCCACTGGTTTGCACCACTCTGAAAATTATTCCTCTGGTTGTTGTAGCCAGCAAAGTTACCCCGGTTTCCTTGGTATTGAGGTGCCAGTGGACCCTCTCCTTTCTTAGCATACTCCATAAGATTCACTTCCTGAGGTGGAATAGGCTCTTCAAAGGATTGAGGACATGAATTGGTCAGGTGGGCTCCAAAACAATGATCACACGAAAGCACCATGTCTCTCACTGGATTCTGGTTTGGCATTTGTCGAAAACTCCTCTGGTTCATCCCCTGGCCACCTTGGTATTGGTTCTGCGCCTGAGCTTCATAGAGTTTCTCAAACTTTAGGACAAGAGCATCCAGTTTTGCGGCAGCAGCTGTACTAGAATCAACCTCATATAATCCCGCCTTTTGTGGAGCTCTTTCACTTCGTTCATCATACCAGTACCTCTCATTTGAGGTAATAGTCTCTATCAGTTCTTCACCTTCTTCTGATGTCAGCCGTAGGATTGAACCTGTTTTAGAAGAGTAATCCAACTCCTTTTTGCTCTCAATGGACAGCCCATTATAGAAGTGAAATATGGTGTCCATTCTCTCCATGATGTTGGATGGACAGTTAATTCGGAGCTCCTTGTACCGCTCCCAAGCCTCACTCAATGTCTCATTCCTCCCTTGCCTAAAGTTCTGGAGAGCTGCCTTGGCTTTGATTCCTGCGGATGCTGGGCAGTACTGTTTCATGAAAGCTTGGTATAATTCATCCCAGGTGGCAAAAGTGTGGCTATCGAGCCAGTGTTGCGCCTTGTCCCTTAGAGTGAATGGGAACAAAAGTAATTTGTTAGCTGCTTCAGAAACTCCATTGATTCGCGAGGTCCGACAAAGACGATTGAACCAACGCATATGTGTTTGGGCGTCTTCATGTCTCATCCCTCCGAACTGGTTACTCTGAGCTAGATTGATTAATCCGGGGGATAGTTGGTAATTTGCAGCTTCAATGCCCGGCATGGTTATTCCGTCAACCTCTGCAAATTGTGGAGTAATTTGTTCATACATTGTCCTCCTTGCGGGCTGTTGTTCTCCGGCCATGTTTCTTGACCTTCCTTTTCTTCTTCTCAAAATACTCTCGGGGTTTGGATTCAATGGGATCAAGCCTTCAGTTCCCCGAGCACGTGTGTGCATACACCGGTTCCTGCAGCTTAGTTCCCGTGCAAAGAACACCAAAAACGACAAACAAATAACAGGAAAAAAAATAGAAAGTCTCACCGACTTGCTTTTACCTATTCCACAGAAAAGTACTTAACAAACAACCGTGCCACTCCCCGGCAACGGCGCCATTTGATCGGTGTATTTTTTTAGTGAAGTAAAACGTAGTTGGCTAATCCGAAGAATAACCAGACCACGAGTATCGTCTCTCAAGGAGTGGCAAAAGGAAGTTTTTAGATACAGTCCGTGATCACAGGCTAGCACAAGTCATGGTAATCTTTCCGAATAAATATTTTTGGGTGGTTTTTAAAAAAATTACTAACAGCGAGTGCAAAAAAATAAATATAGTATATAAAAAAAAAATTAAACTGATTCTAGATATTAAAACAGGGTTCGAATTGGATGGTTCGGGTTCTGGGTGTTCTTTCCGGATTAGAATTAAGTAAATTAATTTTCAATTATTCCTGGAAAGAAAATGAATTAAATTCTCATAGACAAGAATTAAAACATATTTTCACAATCCTAACTTATTTCTAAGGTTAGATTGCTTGTATAAGATTTGAGCTAATTTAACTCAATTTCTCATAGACAAGAACTGAATTAAATCCAGTCATTCATATATGAGGTGATCAAATTCATATAGACAATTATAATTAATCTCATACAATTTTCCAGAAAATTAATTAAATTTTAAAAACTAAATTCACACCTTCAAGAACCCATGAACCCTAGCCCCAATTCAAACCCTATAGGAAATTAGCTTCTCATAATTAAAATTAACATCACAATCATATTGATAAGCATGATAAGGGCTAGAAAAATTGAAGTAGAATAATTCTCTGGGAAATTCTTAATTATCAACTACAGAAAAACATCTTCGAAAGTTAATTCAAAACTGAAACTAAGTAATGTAAAATATGTTTGACTTACAATGAATGTTTGAAATCTAAATTAACTTGGAGAAAATTGAAAGAGGAGTGCAGTTTAGAAACCGTTCTGATTTTCTTTCTTGCTGGTGCGGCTGATTCACCAAGGACAGAACGCAAGAATGGAAATAAACTCTGCTGCGGCTATTTGATTTCAGGAACAGAAAGAATCGTAGAGCATGCTGCGGCTAACTTAAAAAAAATGAAAAGGAAAGAATGAATGAATGTGCGGCTGCCAGTTCCAGGGAAAAACCCAGCTGATCTTTTTTTTTTCTTTTGGGCTGCTAACATTGCTTCTTCTTTTGTCATTTTGGATTGCACTTAACTTCAAAAACAGTCCTTAAATGATCTGGTCCAAACATATTCACCGCAAACTCGGCCTGTACAATAACAACTCACCACACCCGCTAATAATATGTAACTTTACAATCAAATTACTCCAAAAATGTCAAATTGTGTAGAAAAAATACTATTTCCAATATGACTGCCACCGGGACCGAAAAATAGCAAATTTTCACTCAAACCCCCCAATAGTCACTCGGTTAATTATAAAAATAAAAAAATTAACACCCAAATATGGGTGAAAAGATAGGAACGGAACGAGCCTATCACAAACCAAGCATTATGTGAGAAATTTTCAACTCTCATGCAAGGCAAATTTGAAATGAGCATGATGGGAGAGTTGAACTATTTCTTGGGACTACAAGTGAAGCAAACCCCACAAGGTATCTTCATCAACCAAGCAAAATATACAAGAGATCTCATGAAGAAGTTCCAAATTGAAAACAAGTCCACTGTGAAAATTCCCATGAATACTTCACAAGGCTTGAGTCAAGATAATGATGGGAAAGATGTTGATCCTACACTCTACAGAGGATTGATTGGTTCCTTGTTATATCTCACAACTAGTAGACCAGATATATCCTACTCAGTTGGGGTATGTGCAAGGTTTCAATCAAAGCCGAAGGAAAGTCATCTTCTTGCAGCAAAGAAGATACTGAGATACCTCAAAGGCAATCCTAACTCTGGATTATGGTATTCAACAAATGGAGGCTTTGATCTATATGGCTACTCAGACTCAGACTTTGCTGGATGCAAAATTGATAGGAAGAGCACTTCTGGAACTTGTCAATTGCTTGGAGGAAGACTTGTTTCATGGTTCAGCAAGAAACAAAGCTGAATTGCTACAAGCACTGCCGAAGCTGAATATATAGCTGCAGGCAGCTGCTGTGCTCAAGTACTTTGGATGAAACAACAATTAAAGGATTATGGAGAAGAAACAAAGGAGATTAGCATACTGTGTGACAACACAAGTGCTATAGCTATCACTCATAATCCTGTGTTTCACTCAAGAACCAAGCATATTGAGATCAGGCACCACTTTATCAGAGAGCATGTTGAGAAGAAAACCATCAAGCTTGAGTACATCCCCACCGAAAAGCAGTTGGCTGACATCTTCACCAAACCATTGAATGAAGCTAGAAACCAACTAAGGCAAGAGCTTGGTATGTTAGATGATCTAGATCAAGTAAGGGTATAACCCTACATCTATTCAGGGGGAACCTAATTCCATAATCAAGGGGGAATTCCTAGCCACCTGTTGAGGGGGAACTAACAGGGGTAGCCATCTCAGGCTACTCACAATCCAAAAGGAATGAAGCATCAAGGTCCAAGAAGGTCTATCTCAGACTTTCAAAAGAAAGAGGGAATCAAAATTCAAGAAGTAGGCTCAGCAGGTGACTACTCAAGACAGCAGTAGGGTCAGCAGGCAACTGACCAAATAGACCACTGCTACATGTGTAACAAGAGGAATTGAATTAATACTTTCATAAAGAAGAGTACAAGCTTGGAACAAGGGAAGAACAATGGAGGTAAAGACACTAGTTCACAAATTCGAACAGATGTCTGCCAGCAGATGTCTGCCTCAGGAGCAGAAGCCTGTCTTAGGACAGCAGTTGGCTCACTTTCTGGTCAACATACATGAAATCTCAACTCATGGCATATATCATCTTGATCTCCTTATATCAAGGATTTCAAAGTGGTAAGTCATGCCTTCAAAAAAAAAACATCAAATTTACCCAAGCCAGAGCCCCCTGCTACCAGTATAAACTCAATAAATGCTAGAAGGAACCAGCCGTATTTTCCAACGGCTACATTCCAACGGCTAGTACCCGATAGCCTATAAATATTTTCTCCGTACAATCCACCAACACTTTTCACCTTGCAATCTCTCTACATCTCTCAAGCTCTCAAAAGCCTTCTCTAAAAAGCTCTCAAACACACCACTTCCGCAATCACCAAATCTTCTCACAAACCCACAAATGGCCTCACTCACCAAAATCTGTAAGTCCATTTTCAGTGGCTCCATCTTAAACACCTCCAAAGCACTTGAAAGAGCAAACAACAGTGATCTTATGAGGGAGCTCCTAAGGAAGCTTGACACAACCGGGCTCATAAAAATGGCAACCTTCACATACTCCCACTTCTATCCCGAAGTGGTAGCAGAGTTCTACATCAAGTCAACCCCAGACACTTTGAAATCAGTAGTTATGGGAGTTGAGGTGGAGATACAAGAAAAAGACATTAAGGAGTTGCTCTCTCTTCCTGGTGACGAAGCCCCAGCAGTAGACAACTTCTTCCTGAATGAGGCAGAATTCAAAGAAAAGGTCATCCTACCAAAAGCTCAAAACCTCAATACTCTCAAGATAAAGAAAAAGCTAATGGTTCAAGAGTATGATATACTACTTGACATCCTCTACAAATGCATTGACACAAGAACCACAGCACTTGATGAGATCAATGCACTGAGAGCAAAGCCACTGGCCGCTATCATTTCGGGATCCCCATACAACTGGACCAGGTACGTTTACCAAGAACTCAGAAGATATGTCACAAAATCACACACAGGAAGAAAGGAGGATGGTACATTACCACTGCTAGGCTACGGATTCCTCATTGGAGAACTACTCAAGAAGAAAGGTATTCTGGGGACACGAAAAGAAGCAACTACTTGGAGGAAATTCTTGTTCCAAACCTCGAAGGCAGGGGCTCCAGAAATTCCAAAGGCAGATGATTCATTCATCTCCAACGACCTCCTCTTGGTCTCTTTTAAAGTTGATACCAAGACTGACAAAAGGCTCCGTTCTGGGTGTCAAGAACCACAATCAAAGAGGCCAAGAACAGCAACCAGGAATCTACAAGAAGAAATGGAAGAGGCAGCATCATATATGCATGCAGAAGAGGGCTCTCCTCTCACTATCATCCAGGAGGAGGCAGAGTCTTCTTCCAACTCCTCCAATGCTAGCAATAGCTCTGCCACTCCGCTCTCCATTCTCATTCCAAAAATACAACAAGCAGTACAACCAGCTCCAATAGAGGAGCAGGAGACTCAACAAGAAGAGCAGATGGCTCCTCCAGAGATAGAACAGCCAACTCAACTCAACAAGCAAATGGCTCCACCTTCACCAACAGACCACTCACCCACTCCTCTGCAAAAATTAGAGGCTGAATGGGCTAGAGTCAAAGCTTGGAGAGAATGGAAACTCTCCAAAATTCTCCACCAAGCCAGGACCCTAACAAAATTCATCAGTGAAGAGTACTTTGCTCTCACCTGGCTTGGCACTGAAGACTTAGCAAAGGCCACAAATCTTCACCAAATGAATCTAATCTACCTCACGAAGAAGAAGCAACTAACCGGTAAGTCACAAGAAGAACCTTCTACCGATGATGATGATGATCTCGATGATAATGACTACAACACTGCTCCAAATGGGTCTCCAGAGGGTAGAGGTAAACAAATCATCTCTTCCTCCTCATCCAGTGATAAAGAACTCCAAATAGCTCTACACAGATCTCTACTTGAGACAAAAGGAGGTGGAGAAACCTCCAGAACAATGGAGGTAGAAGATCAACAACCCACTGAGCAACATGCTGCCACTACTCCACCTCAACCCACTGCTCAGCTCACTGCAGATCAAGAGCATGAGTCTAGTGCACACTCTCAAGCATCTACTCAAAACATAGAGCAACACTCTCCAACATTCATCCTCGAACCTGAAGACAATGAAGAAGACACTACTACCCTGGCAGGTGTCTTCATCAAAGAAAGAAGGGCTACCACACAATTCATTAGCCGCGCAAAGGTCCGACTACATAAAAGACTCATCAAAATGAAGAAGCAACTAGAGGACAGGTTGGACATCAGATTTGGAGAAGTCCACAGCCATATAAGAAAAGATTCCATGATCCAACAGGTGTTCAATGCTGAGCAGAGAGCTCTACTCAAACTCAAAACTTCTCAGCAGTCTACTTTGACCAACGAAATAAAGCAGGAGATGGCTGCATTAAAAGCCAAGAATGAGGACCTCGAAAGACAAATACTAGCACTTCAGAGCCAGCCTACTGTAGCAGGAACTTCTGGGCAGGTAACTTCTCTTCCAAACCTCCCTCCTAACCTTGAGCAGTCTCTCCAAACGGTAAAGGAGCATGAAGAGTATCTTGGAAAACTAAGAAATGAAGAGTTCCCTGCCATGTTCAAACTCTCTCAGAAGTTTCTTGTAGAACAGCAGGCTCATGCTCAAGCATATGGGAAGTTAACAACGGCCATTAAGAACAACTTCAAGGTTCTTCAAAAAGCTACTCAAGACACCTTTTTTAAGCAAGGAACTGACTTGCAGAAGCTGGGTCAAAATCTGGAAGCAACACAGAAAAAGCTTCAAAACTTAGAAAATGTGGTCAAGGATGATGTCAAGACGGATGTAATGGACATCCGCAACTTTGTAAATGCACTAGCCATTGAAGTTAGTGATCTACACCCGGCAAGGAGAGCGCGAGTTGAAGTTGATTCCGATCCTGAGATAGAAGCCCTCTTCCGAGAAATTGAGACCCCTGCTGCTGATGCCAAAAAGGGGGAAAGAACACCACAAGCAGGCCCCTCATCTGTAAGATCACTAGCAGCAAAGAAAGCGGCAGAAACCAGGAGAAAGAACAAGCTCCTACAAGAAGAAGCGGAGATCAGACAAAGGAAAGCTGAAGAAGCAAAAACCAAGAAGAAGTTGGATGAAACCAACAAGAGTAGACTTCAAGGAAAGTCCGAAAGTGACTAAAAACTATTGTACTTTAGACTATAGACCAATGTACGATTGTCTCAATAAAAATCAATAAAAACATTTGTTCTTGTGTTGTATAGTTTTGGCATCATCAAAAAGGGGGAAATTGTTAGTACCCAATTTTGATAGATTTTGATGATGCCACTATACTTTGCACCCGTACAGTATGTCAGAATTAAATTCAAGTATTAGCGTTAAAATGTGACAAACTAAATGTAAAATTTTTGGAACTAATAAAATTACACTGGAAAGTCAAAATGCAATAAGGTAAAAAAAAAAAAAATTCTTTTTACCTTAAAAGGATATTTAAATCCTACCAGTATAATTCTATTAGTACACAAAAATTAACCGTCACATAAATATATACATTGAATGTATATGATTGAAGACAAACCTTGACCGACATTTAATACCGGATCAACTACTGAGGGCCAAGGCATGGGACGCACAAATAATGCAAGACAAAGTGATCAGCTGCAAATTAATGCTCCAGCACAACAGGACAAGAGTACTACTCGTACTCATCAGAAATTCAACGGAAGAGATCAAACTATCCTAACCAACGGATAAGATTGATCAGCCAAAAAGCCTATAAATAGAGGCTAAACCGAAAGTTCTAAAATGAGCTTGAGCATTCTAAGTAGAGAAATACTTTCATCAAAGCATATACGAGCTATCTAGCAAAAGAGAAAGTGCAAACTCAACTTTACTCTCTGCTTAGCCTCATGCTTCACTAAGCTCTTAGATTAGATCAACACTTTCACATTTTTAGAGCTTAGTTCATAGTTGGAGGTTAGAACTTTCGTGTAACATTTCACAAGTGGTTGTAAACACTTAGGAGAACAGTTGTTCGGATCCTAAAGTGTAGTTAGATAGATAGAGTACCTTTTGATCCCCACTGGATCAATCGAGAAAAGTCTAAGGACTGAGTAACTTTGAGTGGTGTCATACTCATTGTGAAAAACCTTCAATCTAGGCCTAAGTGTTGTAAAGGTCAGATTATCACTAAGTGTATTAGGCTGAATACTTTAGTGAAAATCCATTTGAAAGAGAATGGGACTGGACGTAGGAGGATTACACCACCTCTGAACCAGGATACATCGTGTGTTGATTTTACTTCATTCAACAAAACACACACCCAGCACTTCTCATATAAAGATTGTAGTTTGCCAGCAGCATCCTAAGCAGTTGTCTTAATTGACCCAACTGCTTATCCTTCTGTTTAATTACTCACTCTCTTTGAGACTATCTCCACACAGTTCACTTGCTAAAGCATTACCAAAAAGGTTGTTCTATCAGTTCCCGGAAATTCACTTTCAAATTATAGCAGGTGCCTCAGCAGTCTCCTCAGTACCACCCAACTGCTGAGCTCCCTGCTCACATACATATATTTCCTTTAAACAACTCAACATCACCAGATCCTCATAACATCATCAACACGAAGTTTTGCTTAAAAGGATCTCTGAAAATCTGCTTATAACCTAAGCAGGTGGCTCAGCAGTTCCCTTTGTACCACCCAACTGCCAAGACCACTGCTCCAGTTAAACTTCACCTTAATCTTACTTAAGTACTTTTTCAGACATCTTTCTTGTGTTCTAAACAACGTTTCACCATCACTTTCATCACAAAGTCAATATTTCTTCAGTAGTTACCTCAGCAGTTTCCTGCTACCTAGTCAACTGCTAAGCTAACTGCCAAGCCAACTGCTAGCTATCTAAGTCCAATCTTCCCAAAATTAGAAAGTGGTCAAACACTCATTACATAAAGGGTAAAGACTTCCGCTGTGCATCTATTAATCTCTCAAAAGATTATAGATCAATTCATCTAGAGGGAAAAACTTCAAAAAAATAAAAAAGATTTAAAAGTCTATTCACCCCCCCTAGACTTTTACCCTATCCGGGACCATCAGCTATGACTTTTGAAAAGAAATTGTAAACAACGTTACATAGGGCTATAGGTCTCCAATCCCCCATTGAAGGTTTCTTCTTCTTATGAATTAAAACAATATTAGTCACATTTAATTCTTTTGGCAAAGTCCCTGATTCGAAAATATCTGATCATAACCTGGCTACCTCGGGACCCACAATGTCCCAAAGTTTCTGGGAAAGCGCCAGATTCATGCCATCAGAACCTGGGGCTTTTTCCGGATGCATGTAAAAAATGGCTGACCTGATGATGTGAGTTTTCTCGCACTTAAAAATATGTAGTAGAATAGTGGTGTAAGTATGAGGATCTGTTTGCAACAGTTTCTGCTTTTTAAAAAGTGCTTTTTTTAATGAAATGGGCAGAAGTGATTAAATAAAGGAAAAATTCACAAGAATAATCCCAACTATTAGAGGTTTTCTAATATTAATCCCAAATATACATAATTCTAAAATAATCCCACATTTACAAACCGTCTTCTACAAACAAGCCGGTGACTTGAAAAAACAGTTTTGGCCGGTCACCTAACCACGTGTCGGGTTTCGTTCCACTTTCTTTTTTTTGTTTTGTTTTTCTTTTTCCCATTTTCTCTCTCCTAGCTTTTTCTCTGGCAACTCCTTCCAAGACTCCAAACCCTTTTCGTAATTTCGTTCTCCCACCTGCTATGTACACCGTATCATACTCTTCTTTTCATTATCGCGTGTTTCCTCTTCTTGTTTTATGTTTTATTTTTCTCCTCTAGTTCCATCTCCTTCTTCTGTTATTTGTTTTTCCCTCTTTTGCTTCATCTTCCTGGTACAATTATTGTTCCATCCTCGCCATCAAGGCCAGTTTTTCAACGGCGTATACTGGCTTTCCCCTCGATGACAATGACTATTGCCTTCATTATCATCCGTCGGAGTTGTTCTTCAATGTCAGCCCTCCACCATGCCAATTGTTCTTTGTTGCTATCTCCTCCTTACCTTCATCCCAACCGGTCCGGTCTCCATCGTCTCTATCGTCTATCTGAGTGCAAATTTTTCAGATCTGAAATTGAAAGAATGAAGTGCAAATTTGAAGTGCAAATTTCAGAACAAAACTAAATGGAAGATGGGGGAAGGAAATTTACTTATGTGGTAGAGGGGGAGAAAACAGAAGAGAAAGAAAATTAAAAAATAGAAAATTAAAAATAGAAGTAGAAAGTGGTTGTTCAGCTTTTTTTTTTTTTGGCTGAAGACGAAGGAGGAAATGAGGAATGCTTCACTGAAGACGAAGAAACTGGTTGTTCAGCTTTCATTTTTGCTTTTCTTTTAATTTGTTTACTGGTTGAACAAGTTAAAGGTAAAATGGATCAATTTGAGAAGACTACTCACAAAATTGAGATTATTTTAAAATTACTTATATTTGGGATTAATAATAGAAGACCTCTAATAGGTGGGATTATTCTTGTGAATTTTTCCTTATATAAAAGTTGATAGTGTTTGAGAAAAAAATGATTTTGAAAAGTAAAAGTGGGTAGTGTTTGGTAAAATAAGTGTTTTTTGTGTAATAGAAAAAGTAAAAGCACTTTTGACACGGAAGCCGAGAAAAATAAAAGTTGTAGTGTTTGGGAAAATAAGTATTTTTTTAAAGCCAAAAGTTGAGAAGTGCTTTTTTAAAAGTTGTTGCAAACCAACCCTGAGTATGGTTTCCACAGGGACGGAAAAAAGGAATCAAGAATTAATTAAATTCAGCGAATAGAAATAAATAATAAAAAAATGCAATTGTGCGAGATTTGGATTTTTGGAAAATTAAAATGTGAATAAAACAATTAAACTAATCGGTTCTTTCAAATTAATGACGATAGGGAACAAAGATTGATTCCGGGGTAATCAGATTTGTGGCAGATCAGGCTTAATCACATGAAAATTATTTAATTGAGCAACGCAAATCAATACTAAGTTCTAACCGCTCTCGCGGCGTAGAGTACAATAATTTAGGGAACCAGGTTGATCTCTCATGCGACATATATAAAAAATTATTGTCAAGACGAGCAAGCATACGACCCTTGTGCTATAATTTTATGGAGGGCTCTATTTAAGAAATGAATGGTAAGACACATGTGCTATATGACTCCATTTTAGAATCATAGGGCACCATAAATTTCCCAGTAAAAAAGTGGTGCTGCAATATTTTCAATATACACTTAAATATTTGGAGTGAATGTAGTACATATTTTTAATATTTGATGGGTAATATCTAATATCATATGAATTTATTTTCCATACCATTAGGGTGAGATCATTAAGTTACAACTTACAATTTGGTTACATTAAAAAAACTTACAAGTTGGTTAGTCCCATCAGTCAATATTCTTGACTAATGATCATTATAAAGGCAGTAAAACAGAACGAGTGTTTTCTTCTGTTCTCTATCATACCCTTGTTTCCGGCACATTAAAGTTTGCATCGGTTATGTGTAAAGTGGGGGGAGTCATACATGCATAACATCTACCATGGCATATTAACTACACAGGAGAAGAAGCGGAACAAATTATGAGAAACAAATCATTGGCATCAATATGCAACAGCAAAGTATAAAAAGGCTTCATCTTAGAGTACAGCTTTCATAAAGACAATAATGTACGTTCACATAGACATGCCACTTTCAACATTCTTCTTCTTACAAGAGGAATATATGAAGCTAGCTAGCAAGCAAAAACCTTGATAGGATACATAATCCATTTTGATTTTCTTGTCAACAACTTAAGGCTTTAAACTCTTGAGAATAACTTGAGACTTGTGAGCTATATTGTAAAGACAGCAACGTGTGAAAGCATGAAATGGGAATTGCAATATTGCTCAAAATTTACTGTGTGTAAAGTTTTCAAAATGCTGAAAGATGTAAGTTATATAATCAGAGGTTGTGAGTACGTTGTGCACTTACCCAGCAAGAGGTACCACCAAAAATCCGGCCTTTCCATCCCTGTAGGATCCAATGGCCGTCTTGTGCAAAAAGAAAATCTTTGTGATATCCTTCCCTCACCTTGCACATGTACTTCTTCATAAGTTCAGGGTTTATGGATATGGGAGTGAAGCCAATCCTCATCATGCGAGAGTGCCACTGTTTGTATGTGTTAGGCCTCACCAATCTTTCCATGCCCTCACATGCAATGATATTGATTATATCGCGTCTCAAAAATTGTTGTTCGAAATTCGACCTCTCATTACCATGGCTAGGTAAAGTAGCGTCTGACATATCAAAGACAGCAGAATAGAATGAGAGAGCCTCCCGAAACCGAGTGAGAAAGAAAGGAGAGTTGTGAGCTCCACTACGGACAGATTGCACAAATATATGAGGATTTACTTCTCGGATTAAATTTAGAATTGCATCCTTTGGGCTTTCCCCAATAACTACTGTTTCATCCAAAAGGTGTTCGAGTCGATCAATACAGTTAACAGCAACCACCTCACCCTTTACCAGCTTAAATTCAGCGGTTTTAAGTGTCTCCCAATTGTTCGCTATTATGGAATTGTACTCGAATGGCACACCGAAACGCTCACAATATTTTGCCAAACGACAACCAGTTTCCTCTAACATTTGTGATGGACGAAAACCAGGTTGTGGGAGATCAATCCCTGTTATTCGAAGTTTTGGAGGGCCACCAGGTCTCTGTGACAGATCCCGAATAAGAGTGGGCCACTGGATACCGTAAAGAATACCAAAATCTATAACATGCAGTGATGCAACTTCTGATGCTACTTCGTAAATCATGTTATTAGCAAATAAAATTGATAATCTCGTAAATGGCAAACATGACAGGTAGGATTTTAGCGTCTCGGTGATTATGATGTTATTAGGAGATAAAGCCGCACACAGCTGTGTCCCAGTTCCAGCCAACCGTGCCTCAAGACTGTCAGCAAATATGTTAGCCAACCTTTGGTTTGCATCGCCGGCAGGCGAAGAGTGCTGCCTGATCTTCTTTAATTTAACTTCTGCAGCCCTATAATCATTAGCAGCAACAGATTGTGCACAGCTGGTTAAAAGAGACTCTAGATCAACAATTTCACAATTATCTCTTCTTTTCTTTGAATGGCTCTTGCGACCACTTCGCGCTTTGTGTTGTGGGCGGCCGACTCTGGATGGAGAGTCATTATCATCAGTGCACAACAAAACTTTATCAAACACCTCTGACAACTCAGCCTCCTCCTTATATACAGCAGACTGCTTGCTTCTCCTTTCCTCCAACCCAATTTCATCTGGATGGTAATGTTTCCTTCCTCTACACAAGTCAGCTGATTGGTCCTTCTCTATAGGGATGAGATCACTTTTGGCCTCTGTAGGCAATCCGTATTTATCAGCTACCTTCACACCTCTCTTTAATTTCAACATCGACTCACTGTGATCACAACATATATTTGGAACCAATTTAAGGCTATGAAGGCTACGTGAAGCCCCATTTAGCCCATCCATGTTAGTCTGCCTTGATGATGGCTGGATGGTAAGATCCGTATGATCACATGTGACAGATAATATAGATTCAACAGAATCAACATCATAGCTCAAATCATAGGTCACAGATGATTTAGATTCTGCAGGATCAATATCATTAGTGTAAAAAGGCGAGGAAGGGTTACCACGCAAGGCTTCATAAAACGATTTCTCAGTAGCTGTAAGAGCAATGGGGTCAAAGAACATGTTGTGATTGTTCCCATCAATGCTATCCTCCTCCAGTAGAATCTGGCAAATATAGTCTAGCATAGGATCAGAGTCCAAAGCAGGAGAATGAGTACCAAGGCCATGAATATTATCATTGTCTGGAATGCCCAGTGATTGTTCAACAGTCGGAAAAATGACTTCATTCTCTAACTCGAACCTGTTTATAGAGGTCTCAGGCAGCCCTCTGAGAGGATGATCCATAACCTTCTAAGACCAGAAACCTATACCCACATATGGAAAAGGGATAAACAGACAAATAAAAAAAAACAATAAAAATGAACTGAATGAGGAGGGGAATGTTCTATAAGTACTCTTCATTGTCTAGTATAACAATTACATGCGTTTTTATTTGTTCATCATTACCTCATTCATATTAATGATATTATAGAGTAAAATTGGATTTCTAAAAACCACAAATTTAGACCTATTGCAACTGTGATAAAATAACACATCCACCTCATTCTGGCTGTTATATCCCCTCTCTATCCGCCAGACCATGGGGGGATAGAATTGAATACATATGGGCATAAGCCACAAATTTCAGCTACGGATACTATGTGCAGAAAATAATAAGAAAAGACTATAATAGCTATCGCTGCATTAATTAGGGTGCACAAAGACTGCAATGTGTAAACACAAAGCTGCGTATGAGATTGCACAAAAAAAATCGAATAAACTCTGGATTTTTTTTGGAAATTGATAAACTCTGGATTAATTAGTATAAACAAAATATATAATATCACAACAAAATACGGACCACAAATATTGGTATTAGACTAAGGGACGGATCGAGAATTTCAAATCAAGGAGGACGAAATGTTTTCGTTAGTGTAGGGGGTGAATTTCACTGGTGTAGCGGCCTAACGGGGCAGAATTTTTTGAGATGATTTTTTTCGCTAGTGTAGCAAGGCCTAGTGTAGGGCTTTGCGGCTTATTTTTATTCAAAAAAATCCAATTAGTACATACACAACGACATTTAAATCTAAGTTTAGACATTGAAAAAACAATTGTGATTTTATAATTGAAGCGCTCTAAAAAATGTATTGATACATTAAAGCGTAAGAAATGACAAATCAAAGGAGAATTATGTAAAGATAAAAATTTAAAAGATACACATCCACCAATACTTTATAAATAATTTCTGCCTTGTTTAACCACATGAATGTTATCGGCATAAGAAATTGGTTTTTGAATTGCATTTTTTGATCTACCAAGGACTCAAGGCGAGTGTTCATGAGTCGCGAAGAGTTTTCTTGACGTTACAATGCTATGTATGAGATTATATATTATTTTTAGAATAAAATTATATGGTTAGTGATATGGTCCATATTATATACTACCTCCATCCTTCAAAACATTGCCAAGTTTGACTGGCACAGAAAATAATAAGTAAAAACTTTGTGGTTGATGTTTGTGCAAAGGAGAAAGAAATAACATAAACCACAAAATAATTGATTAAAAGAGAAAGTAGCAAAGTTTTTTGGGATGTCCCAAAAAGGAAAGATGACAAAGTTTTAACATGGAGGAAGTATGTATTAATGATGAAATAAGTTAAAATTTATTCTATGCAATGCATTGTTTTTAGAAAGTAAGAAGTACATGAATTGTGTAATGTAATGTAAACAAACATTTATATTTGAAAAAATGGGGAAATAAGCCCTCAATCTGTTTGTGATTCTACAATTAGACCCTCAATTGAAAGACTTGCAAATACAGTCCTCAATATAGCTATATATCTTGTACCGGAAGGTAACCTTCAAAATGGAGGAATTGGGTGATAATTTGTAATTGAGGGGTTTGATTGGGTGTTATTTTAGTACGAGGGTATAATTGATGAATTCGCTGTAGTAAGAAAACATATTTGATAGTTTTCCCTACATCTTTCTTATTTTAAATTTCTAATTAAGTATTACATATAACTAATAGTTAGAAATTTCTAAATTTCTAACTAAGTAAGTAAGAAATAATCACGATTAAAATGAAATCATAGTAACTTATGTTCAAATTTTAAATCTCAGTTACTATGATACTATATTGTACCAGTAATAACTAATAGTCATATTTTTGTAAATAAATTTTATTGTAATAACACTTTATGTGAGACTATACATTAATTTTGAAAACTAAAAGTAACGGTTGTCGAACAAACGTATTTCTAATTAAAATATATGAAAATTTTATGTAAATATTATAGATAAAGATATACTCCGTATGATAGAATATTTGGAAGTGCTTACCTTAGAGTGAGAGGGATAGCAGCAAAAGAAATGCGCCGGCCGGCCGGCCGACCTAGTAATTCAGAAACAGGCGGATGAAAGAAAGCTAAGCAGTGTGATGGATACTTCCATTTAAATGCTCCCTTCGCCGTAAAACTCAAAATCTGGGCGAGCTTGAATTGGCCACCAAATTAATGGCCCCGAACCTGCTCTGTCTGAGCTTTAAGAACATAACCATTAATCTCCTATCTACACTCCGTATCTTTTAAGATTTGAGGTACGCGCCAATGCAACGAAGAAGAAGAAGGGACCGGAGACATTTATGAGCCTTCTCAGATAATCCCACGTGCTTCTGACCCCAAGAATTAATATATCAAAAAAGATGTTTGTATATTTCTAATGTGAATCTTTTTTATCTCATTTGAATATTTCTATAATTATAATTATAATTACTATAATTATAATATAGTTTTAATTATAATTATAAAATACTTATAATTATAATTATAATCATAACTTTAATTAAAATTATAATAATTATACTTATTTCACCGATTACAATTATAGCTATAACTATAATTGTAATTATATTTTTAATTACTATTATTTCTAAATAATACTAATAATAATAATACTAATAACAACACCAACAAAAATAAATAAATAAATAAATAAATAAATAAATAAATAAATAAATAATAGTGATAAATCATGTTCGAACTTTTCTGATCTGATCTGAATGTTTCTGATATGATCTGAATGCTTCTTATTTGGTCTGATCTGGTCTGGATCTTTCTGATCTGATCTGAATGTTTCTAATCTGATCTGATCTGATTTGAATCTTTCTAACATGATCTGATCAGATCTCAATTTTTCTAATATGATCTGAATAAAATAAGAATAAGCAATAAGTAATAAGAATAAAGGAGTGTTTGCGGTTGCTTAAAAAAAGTGATTTTCAACTTTTGGCTTTAAAAAAGCTGAAAAGAGTGTTTTCAAATGCCAGCTTCTGCTTAAATTAATCTCTTAAAAGCTAAAAGCTGGAAGCAAGTAGAATTGTGCTTTAAACTGCTTTTCACTTTTTCTATTACACAAAAAGTACTTATTTTCCCAAACACTACCAACTTTTACTTTTTCAGAATCACTTTTTTCTCAAACACTACCAACTTTTACTATTAATCATTTTTCCCAAAATCACTTTAAAATATCACTTTTTAAAGTTGAAGCAATTGCAAACACTCCCTAAGACAAACACAACAACTTTTAACTCTAAGTGCTTCCTTACTCTCTTTTCCTCATTCCCCACGTCTCCATCCTTTTCGTTTTTTCTTTTCTTATACGTAATACATGGTACTCCCTCTATCCCACTAACAATGGAACAAGAGGGAATGACACACAAATCTATAAAAAGTGGTTTATGTGGTTGATATTGAATTGATAAAGTAAAAATGATTTAGAGCCACCACCCAAACTTTACCAAATAATGTATGAGACCATCTTAGTGGGACGGACCGAAATGGTAAAATGAGACAATCTTAGCGGGGCGGAGGTAATATATTTTGTACAGGTTTACTTTCTCCATCTCTAATTCTGAGCTTATTGTCACAGACTTGTTCCCTTAACAAACTCACGTATGGCCTTAGCTCCTTTCTGCCCCCTGCAGTAGCTAAGTAAGCCTCGACAACGCCTTAGTGTTGTGTGTGCTAAGTGCTCATGTGACACCGCACCCGAGCGTACTTGAAATTGACTATTTAAAATAGTATATTGATGTATTGAATTTGTTATTACCAACCGTGTGTAACACGAGGGATGTTTCATGTAATTAATGTTGCGGTATTGTGTAAAACGTGTAGTGTTCTATGTAACCGTTGTTCTATTAACCGATCGTTGGAATCCGTGTTTCGTGAGTGAGTTTCCAAGTACTTGTGTGGGCCATCTCGGTAAGTATAAGACCCCGATATTTTACGAAGAGAAATCACATTACGAAGACACAAACAATAAGACCAAATTTTCCTCCATAAGGAATTATCGGTAAAGATTTTCCTTTCGAGCTGACTAGGATCAAAGGGGGTGCGTCCCACACCTCCTTGGCACTTACAAGACAAAAAGAATATGGTGTAAATATCAGTTGGGGCGGATCATGATGAAGTAGGGCTGATTAGAGAATAAAATGATAAAGATTGGACCCCATTTGTACTTAATTGTGACACTTGGTGGAGAATAGCCCACATCCCATTCTTTCCACTCCACACAAAAGGAATAACCTTTTGGGAGAACTAAGGGACACCCTTAGTACCCCATTCGGACTTACTTGGCTTTTAAGAGAAGAGAGCCGCACTTGGTGGGATGCGCTTTATCAACAACCATTTTGAATTTGGTGATTCACGCCTATTCTTTGCGGCGCTGACGATTATGTTGGGAATGGGCCGCCTTTGGGCTTCACCCTGGTATTGGATGCGAAATCCTAATGGACCGGGGATGATTGGGCTTCACCTAAACTGAGATGGACGCTTGGTGTTGGGACGGACCTTCACTAGATAGATCGGGGCGTCTAGATATTACTAGGACTTTGGATGCTGTTGTACTGGCTGCGGGCCTTCATTATTGTCGTGGGAAGCATGTTATGTGATGTTTTATTTTTCGGGAAAACTGTCAAATAGGTTCTCGAACTTTCATAAAAATGTCAAATAAGTCCTTATATAGGAGGCTCTATCTGGCCGTCGCGATTTGGGACGGTTCCCGGTGGATTTTTTTGATAAAATTTTTTGAGTATCTTATTCATCAAGTCTAGTTTACTCATACCAAATTTGAGCTAAAACTTCCATCGAAAACGCATTTAAATTAATTCTTGAAAATAAATGCACATTTAACTGCACAATTATCTTCAAGAATTAATTTGAATGCATCCCCGATTGAAGTTTTAGCTAAAATTTGGTATGAGTAAACTAGACTTGATGAATAAGATGCTAAAAAATTCCACCGGGAATCGCCCCAAATCACAACGGCCGGACAGAGCCTCCTATATAAGGACTTATTTGACCTTTTTATTAAAGTTCGAGAACCTATTTGACAGTTTTCCCTTTATTTTTTATATTACTTGATGCATTTTGGATATTTTGGACATTAAATCGAGGCCTGTCTCATACTAGTTTTGGACTCTTGGTTCGACCATTTTAAAATCTCTCTCGCCCCCAACCTTCGAACGGGATTTAGGTTAGCTAGCTAGTTTAGATAGTTCTTCACACATGTTATTAGTTTTGGATGATTTTTAATACTTTGTATATACAAACATTAAAAAGAACGCACACAATTTACTTAATTTTAGCTTAATGGACTAACTTAATTTGAACATTGATTTAATCGTTCAGTCATTAAATCATATTTGCTTTTAGGAAAATTCTATTCACACTCACACCTTTCCTAACCACACACATACTCCCGAATAAGATAAACCATTTTTCATAATTCCCACTGTGCCCTTTTTGCTAAGGGTGGATCTAGGGGTACACAAATTTGTACACAAATTTTGTACACTTGTCTGTCCCTCACAGACAACTCATCTCCGGACAGACAATTTGTCTGTAAGGGACAGACAAGTGTACAAAATTTGTGTACACCAATCTTTTTTCTTTTGCTAAACGCAGCCCGGTTTTTCATCTATTTTGGGATGTTCACTCTTACTGTTGTCACAACTTTCAAGAACGAGGAAGAACTGGTTGGAGAATGGAGATCATATCCATTCACATTTCTTTTTCCAGCCGGAAGGCGAAAGGGTGGATAAGATGAGACGGACGATTCCACTGATTATCCTCAGTCAGCCAGATGAAAAAAACAGAAAGCAAATTCGATTCGAGATCGATCTTCACACGGTTCCTACTGCACACGTGAAGACCAGTGAGCTGCGGAAGGCTCTGATCAGAGCATCCCATGATTTCATGAGGTTCCTTGGACATGCCATGGATGGTAATGGTAATTATTAGTCATTTAATTACTTCTCTCCAAATTTTAGTCATTGTCAAATTTTAGACAGTTTAAATTGGGATAAGGGTCACATAGGGCCTCGAACTTGGAAAAAATATCAAATAAGACCATATTTAGGATGTTATGTCCGGCTGACGTCATTTGGGGCGATTCTGGGTGGAATTTTTTGATGAAATTTTTTTAGAGTCTTATTCATTAAGTCTAGTTTACTCATATCAAATTTGAACTAACAATTCAATCGGGAAGGCATTCAAATGAATTCTTGAAGATAATTGTGCTTTTAACTGCACAGTTATCTTCAAGAATTCATTTGAATGCCTTCCCGATTGATGTTTTAGTTCAAATTTGATATGAGTAAACTAGACTTAACGAATAAGATTCTCAAAAAAATTCATCAAAAAATTCCACCGGGAACTGCCCCAAATGGTGTCGGCCGGACAGAGCATTCTAAATATGGCCATATTTGACGTTGTTTTCAAGTTTGAGACCCTATCTGACCCTTATCCCGTTTAAATTCCAAATTTGGATTCGTGTATTGCTTGAAATGATGAAAGTTTTTGGTGATGAGTTCCCCTATAGCTTAATCATCCTTGATTTCTATGTTTTCACTTTGTCGTTTCTGCTGAAATATATGGACTACTATATGAAACATAAATCCCTAAATGAGTAAATGATGTATGCAATACATTTTGTCACGCCCGGGACCTACCGGACACGTTAACAACCCGTCGTACAGTACGAATAGTCAACCGCAGTCCAACTCATCCATACTATACTAGGCGTCTTGAATACCATTCACAATAGTGCATCCATAAACAATCATAATGTAAATCATTTAATTAAGCAGCGGAAAATATTAATACAAGTATTCAAGCCACACGTGGCAAACACGGGCATACAAGCCCCCAAATAATCGTTCAGAAAATAATATCCATGAGCATTTAATAGTATTGTTTTGAAAATGGATACGGAGGAAGCACGAACCACGTCTTCTCTCCTTTAGCTCCCCGAAGCAACGGGCGATGATAGCAAGCTTTAGCCCCTACCTGAAACTGTGAGGTGGCCTCCCCCGTGAAGGGGAGGTCAGTACTTGGAAGCATTTGACAAGTACAATGACAATTATACTAAGTATAATCAACTTTTTGATTTCTAAGACCCTCAAATTAGGGTGATATCATAATATAAATAATAATTTATATTTCCCACTTATTATCTCCATAATAAGTAAATTCATTTAATTGTCGGCACACTGCCCATTTTATATATCCCTTTTCAGTTATCATTAGCACAACCCAACCCGTGGGTCTTATTATTTCTACGGGACTTGCTACCGCTGTCCGAGACCTCACGAGGCTCTCGGT